TCCCGCTCTGGCGGCTCTGACCCCTTTCAGACGAGTCCAACCCGAGTGCCTGCCTCCGCCCCCTTTCTGACCGCGGAGGTGACTGTTCCCCCATTGCCTCCGTCTTCTCAGACCAGCTCGTGGGTCCCGAGCCGAGCCGCCAGGAGACGCGTGAAGGAGGGGCGCTGGGGTCTGGCGGAGGCCCCGGGATGTATCGTTCCCCGAGGAATCCCCCCCTCCCCAGGCCCGTCATCTGTTGAGCGTTGGAGAGAAGGAACCGGGGACATTGAGGAAGGCTGAATAGCTTGGCACTCCCTTGCCGAACTCCCCCACCCCCCCCCACCCCAAGGCAGGCTTCTGACGATGGGCCACTGGAAGGGGTCCAGGACCTCAGAGAGTCGGCTCTCCTCTCGGTGGGCCTTGGCGTGTGTGGAAGCTGTTTTTCTCTGAGAAAATGCTCAACTGGCAAGTTCAGATCTCCAGCCACACCAGGGAAGGTTCTAGTCACTAATAATGCCTCCCCGCCCCTTTGTTAGGCAGCGCAATCGGATTTATTCAGGTTCTTTTCTCCCTCTTCCCCTTCTCTCCACGTCACCTAAGTTACAGAGGCTGCTGAGGGTGAGCTGTTCTGGAGTTAAACTGCTTCACTTCACTCAGACTTGGAACAGTCTTTTAAACTTATGAGAACACTGTAGCAGTAAAACATCAAGGTGGTCTTTTGTCTTTTTTTTCTGTTCTGTTTTGTTATACACATAGGTGTACATTTCTATTATGGGTTTGTTTACATTGGTGTTTATAGAACAGTACTAGGATTTTATATAGCATTTCATGTTATGTACTCTGTAATCTCACTAATTCCTGTCACTTTTCCACGGAAAGCTTGAGTAGCTGTTTGTAGTAGTCGTCCCCCTGAATAGATAAAGATAACAGACACAAAAAATAGAGACTTGCTTATGTGTCACTCAGTAAGTTCATGGAGTCCGGACAGCGGTTTTTGAAGTCCCGTGCTCTTATTCTTGGGTGCCCCAGTCTTCGGTATTTTTTGAGAGCCTGTCACAATATTCCCATCATCTTCCAGGGAAAGCTTCCTTATGGAACTTTTTCCTTCTCATATTCCATCATCATAGTAGCAGTTAGTCTCAGTATTCTAATGATGATAGTCTGAGCAGTATTTTCTTGGAATGACTCTGTTGGCTACCGTTAGAGAGTTGGTGAGCATGAGTGGAGTTGAAGAATGTGAAAGAAACTGCTTCCAGTTTGCTCG